CAACGAATGAATCAGAAGATATTATAGGAGGAGAAGAAAAAACCTTCGATACTGCTTAGTATCCTAATAGAGACTTGACTATATTCGTATTGGAGAGGCTACATGGTTTTTTACAATTTATTTATTGTAAAATAATGTCCCCATCCTGTCTGTATGTTTGATTCACAATACATTTAAAAACTACTGAATAGATTCCTTTATTCAATTTTCACAAGAAAATAATTTGAGGGATTTTTGGGAAAGGTGTATAAGTCGTGGCGGTGAAAAGAAAATATAATAATAAGGAATGGACACAAATACGTCTATCACCACAGGTAAATATACCATGTCATACCATTCTCAAGTTTGTACTACCCTTAGGTAGACTGGCAGAGAATGCCCTAGTCGTTAAGTAACGAATGGAGTTTCTTGATCGTTCTTCTCCATTCGAATCTACATTTTGGAATGAGCACCTAGCTTCACTAACGGACTGACTGACTTACTTATTTATTTTGTATTTGTTGACGTTTCAAAAGTACCAAATTATGGTTTAATTGAAATAAATGCAGATTATTAAATAAATAAAAAATAAGTTGATATTACGAATACGGTCACCAGTTGGATGTTATTATTAAACCCAAAAAGCGTGTAACGATACCTGGCACAAACCCAGCGGTTTTTAATTTCGCCTCATATCTACATTACGTGCAAACGACATTCGACAGTCAGCCAACCAATTTTGTGGTCAGATGGATTTAACTGATGACAAATATAATTATGCACCTATTTAAATATATTATCTCCGCTACTTATATGAAACCAAAACGAGGTTTCAGGTTGAAACTATTTCAAGATAGACATTATTATAAAACAATTGCACGACTGCACAGTTGGTGCGGTGGCTGGGCAACCGGCTGCCGTGCAACGTATCGCGGGTTCGAATCCCACACGGAACAACACTTTGTGTGATCCACAAATTGTTGTTTCGGGTCTGGGTGTCATTGTGTATGTGAATTTGTATGTTTGTAAACGCACCCACGACACAGGAGAAAAAAAAAAGAAAAAAAAATCTTTGTTAAACTAAGTTTAAACAATCGACGTAACCATTTTTTTAAGTCGGTTAATTGATATAGTAAAGCCCTCTCTGGCCGAGTGGTCGCAAGTGCGACTACCGGGCAAGGGGTCTCGGGTTCGATTCCCGGGTCTGGCAAAGTATTACTGGGTTTTAAAAAAATCTCAGTAGTAGCACCGAATCTGGAATTATGCCCGGTATATGGCAATAGGCTCACCCCCTATTACATGGGACTCATAACATAAATAGTGAAAAGTGGGTGTTACATTTTACCTCTACAGTGGTATAATGTGCACCTCTGCCTACTCCTTCGGGGATAAAAGGCGTGATGTTATGTTATGTTATGTAAAGCCCTTTCTTAAATGTAGCAAACACATTTTTGAACACCGCATCAAACCCGGGTCAGCCAATCACGAGATAATCACGCACAAATATACATACATACAGGTTAAACTGCGAACCTCCTTCTTTTTTGAAGTCGGTTAATGTATTATGCTCTTGTGGTACTAACATTACGCCTTTTATTCTACGAAGGGTTATTTACTTTTCGCCTGTTATGTTATCTGGCTGGTTTAAAAATGAGCCTCTATAAGGAGTTAGGAATTTGAGAATAGATTTCGGGATTGTGGAGATTGGGTCTCTTGTAACCTCGTTCACACAGCGAAACTCAACGTTAGAGTTTTATCAAGTCGGTTTAATTAAGTGACATCTTGGTATCACTCTCTACCCCCCCCCCCCCCCATATGTGCTAAATTAATACCTAATTCTTAAAGACTGGGTAACAGAAAGAAAAATCTTTATTTCACGCCAAAAAACTAGTGACATGTACATAAAAGTCATTGCATTAGTAGGTAATGGTGGATATATGTTCATGTATCCATGTCGAAATGGGACCAGTTCGGCATGTGCAAGAGAAGGCCTTGCGCTGGTATTCTACTGGCCCTAAAAATATGACAGACTTTTTGAGGATTAAAAAATGACCTCGTGCCTGGACTTAACAGACGAGACAGTTAAATGTATTTTACTGAATAATTTAGTCATATTCAAAGGTACAATTTTAGCATAAATAAAGAAATAAATGCTAATGACGATGTGGGACTGAAAGCTTCGCTTGATCCATCAAAGGGTTTCACCTTAAGCCAGCTTAAAAGCGGTGGAGGAGCCATAAAAATAACGTGTAAGAGACATGTATCTATGTGTTTAGTACTTAGTATCTTTTTTATAGTATAAATACCTATTTATTCTATCTTTTCTTATGTTACAAATAACATTAATGCGAAAGTCTGAGTGTTTATGTGTTAGTGTGTGTCTGTGTGTGTGTGTGTGTGTGTTACTCAAAACGGCTGAATGAATCGCTGACTTCCGTAATTATGAATTTAAATTGTAGTTAAATTGTATAAAATCAGTACTGAGTGACAGGCTGTTGTCTAACACGTCTTTAAAGGGAGATTTTACAACGTCAGATAACTGGAACTGATGAATAACATCGCCTGGTGGAAAGCAATGATGCGGCCTACGATGAAGCACGTCTGCCCATAAATATTAACTCGGGTAACTCTTGAAGATACCCAAGTGCCTTTAAGGCCCGAATCTGTATAGTATTTCCCTTCAGGAGATACAGATTCTGGCAAAGAATTCCACTCCTTAGCAGTACGCACAAGGAAGCTTGATGCGAAGCGCTTCGTGCGTGTGGGTGGGACACCTACCATGAATTGGTGACGCTTCGCCGATTCTCATGTGGTACGATGATGGAAAAGACTAGGGGGAATGAAGTTGTGTACCATAAGTAAGTAGCCTAGAATCTCTTTTCCTTTTAAAATCCTCTACATACGTGTCTGAAGGGCAATTTCCGAAGTTTACATTAATAAAATACATTAATAGGTTATGCTACTATTCAATCATGGTTCCAATATTACGCCTCAAGGCATTAAAAGTATTCATTAAAAAACTTAGAAAGAAGTAAAAATAGTTATACCACAAAGGCACGTGGGCTTGCATTAATGGTTTCTCAGAATAAAGGTCATCGGACACAAAAAGGTTGTAAGCGCTTACAGCTTTTTTTATATTAACATTATGAAATATGTCATACGACATACGATTTAGAGTTCATGTTTTAATGACAATGACATTGCTGGGTTGGAGCCGTGCCGGTGCTAGTTAGCTGTGCGATGATCTTAAATCGACTACAGAACAAAGGTTTTGAAGAGGAGGTTTTCATAAACCTTACGAAGGCTTAGCAGGGAGGTTTCATACTTTAATTATCTTGCCCGGTATTAAATAATGAATCTCCTCTACATAAGAAGGTTCGACATAATTTCCTCACATGGCAGGCAGATCGGAGATCACGGTAAACAGTTAATCAGAGAACCGTTGTCCGGTCTCTTTAATGGGACAAATGCGCCACAACCTCCCAAAACCACTGCCCACTGCAATTCCTGTAAGTCAGCCGTCAGGATCTACAGTAGACACAACCATGAAAACACCGGAACACGGAAGTCTAGCGCGTCCCGGGGACATGAATAACTGCCTTGGTTCCCGCAACGAAATGAATCAGAAGAAGAAAGAACGATAGTTTCTACTTCTCTCGATGAATTACTGCTGGAGACAGAATGAATCTTAATTCTGATACGAGATTTATATGAGGCTTACCTAGAGGCACAAAAAGAGACTGTACAAGTTGGAGAAGCCCAGTCGTCAAGTATTGTCCTGTGTCTGTTAACTGTGTAGCTCCTTCTGTGTTCTTACACACTCTCGCTTGAAGAGAAGAAGGGGTGAAAAAATTATTTTACTCAAGAGAACGATTGTAGAGGTAAAAGCTTATTACTTAGGAAATCCAATTAGAAATTAACATTTGAGATAATGGTAGTGCAGGTTTATGCTGATATTGAACACATATTTCGCAGTGAATGAGTTTATGATATAACTGATTTTTATGTGTAAGTAATTGGCAGTTCGTTTTTTTATCTATTGATTTTTTAACAGTTGTTCTAAAAATAATCGATCTTAAATGAATCGTTCAGTACAGACATTGAATAAGATTACTCATTAGCATTAATAGCTTAAAATATATTTTAAGTATAAAATTATATTAGTAAAATTCATTCTTAAATCTTATTATTGTAATACCTTAAAAGTGGAAAAATTCACTTAACCATAAGAAAATTACCTGCAAAATGTATACAAACTAATCACAAATTCATACGAGACCCAATTACGCTTCATCAATCATCATTTTGAACAACCATGGCGCTCATTCGCTCAAACCACAGATAATATAAAATAAGGCGAGTTCTCACCGTAGGCTCCATGATGCTGGCGGCCGGCCAGCTGTTTCAACCGTACGCCGCTATTTATACGCCCAGGATATCGATTTTCCCCGGAACCGTTACGTAATACACGACACGGCCAAAACGTTTGCCGCCGCTAACTGTTACACTCATAAAACGCACATCTTACTCTAAAACCAATAAAAACTTATCAGATTTATTAAAATCTTAAATTAAAAAATACTACACTAGACTGAATCGATCAACACTTGTATATAAAAAGAAAAAAGTTCGATATTCGAAAATGGAAGGCGGGAATTGACGATGGGATTTATTTTTTTTAATTCACAATTTGTGGCTGTAATTCCGTGGAGGTGCAGGCTCCGCGGAGGTTTGATACAACCGTGCTCAGTGGCGCCCCCGAGCTAACTGCCGGTTCGACGGGGCGACTGCGCGCTCCACACATACAAACAAAGTTACTAATATTGTTTCATTGTTTAATCTTTATTCCGAAGGCTTTAAAGTTGAAATTTACTTGAGTGTGGGATGAAATTGGGGACGACATTCTCTGAAAGTTTGTGTGATTCTTATGGCTTTGTTAATAAGGTTTATTTTGATGTTATGTAGCGGTAATTGTGTTTGCATTCTGACAAGCATTGTTTCAGCATTGACGGAAGAATAGACATGATGGCGCCTATTTTTCATTCATTTGTCAAAACATTTGATTAAATGTATTTATTGTTCTGCTTGATTCTGTTTAGGTGTTTTCTTTGCAAATGTTTCAAAGGCTATTAGGAACGATTTAATACCATTAATGGATTAGAAAAGATAAGGATATCCATATAATTACACCGTTTTAGAAAGACAGATATTTTTACATTATCACATATATTTTTATTTCCATAGAAGGCTAGTTAGATAATAATATTATGTTCCTCTTTCACAAGTTAACTTCAATAGGCTCTTCCTAATTCTAAAAATATAACGCTCCTTTGAATAAATCTCTGCTACGCTTTCGTAGACCTCGTAGACCCTTCGTAGCAAATGCTACGGAGCGTAGCGCTACGAGATGTATATTAATACGTGTGACCATTGGCCTTAGAATGACCTTGAAATATGAAATTGATTTTATATTTGAGAAAATTGTAGGACTATGAACTATTCTGAGTATAGTTGTGGTGGAGTAATCATGTAATTTTGGGTTCGAACATCAGGTTTTTCGATATAAAACTTCCTAGTAAGAAGTCGCATTTTGAGTTTTATTACTTAATAGTCACAAATCGAGAATTCGATCCTATTATCTACCATTTTGAGGAATCCATTTTAGTCTAATAACTATTAAGAAGCATCAAAATCATAAATACATTTTTTTCTTTTTCAGTTTTCCAACCAGACTTGGACTAATAACAATTTTACTCAATTCCTTATTAGAATTTTACACGTACTTACAATTCTAATTAGCACAGTTTACACTTTTCAGCACACAAGTAATTAAGGTCGAGTATTCCATGAAACAAACACAAACAAAAGTCAGAGTGACCTAACAACACTTGAAAACCTTCAAGCGAACTTCAGCTTTAATTACAAATTTATTCTGAAAACTTTATCAACAACCGTTTCGGTTGCTTTGATGAGACTTTTGGATTTAATTTACTGAGTTCTAAATTAACTGGTTAACTTAAGATGAAATTCAGTCACAAATATACAGGTTTGATCGTATATTACATTAATAATATTCGAGTATTACCGATCAATACACTTTTCAGATTTGATATTTATAAAACAAATTAATGTTATAGAATTTGTAATATATTTTAGAGTATTTGGTTACTCTCAGTAACTATAACATTTATTGCAAAAATTGGCCCCAAGGGTCCGTGGAATAACCTTGAATACTTTTTTTAAGGGGGAAAATCATACAATGACTTGATTCTCTCGGGTGAGGCGAGAGGGAGTGTCAAACTCTTCATCATCATCATCACATCAACAGCCTGTAAATGCCCACTGCTGAGCCTAAAGCCTCTTCTCACACCGAGAAGGTTTGAGCATTAATCACCACGCTTGCTCAATGCGGGTTGGTAATAATAAACTTATAATTAGGAATTATAAGCCCAGGTTTCCTCACGATGTTTTCCTTCACCATATGTCAGTGGTGTCTGGATAATATTGTTGGTAGGTTTCGAACTCGCACCCTCATGCATGAGAAGCGAGCGTTTTAATTCTCCGGGCCACCACGGCATTCAAACTCTTCCTGACTACAAACCACCCCGTTCCTACTCGTGCACTTCGAGCCGGGGCCCCGGTAACCCGTTAATATGACAATTTTTCCAAACTAAAAACTGTCAAATGTCAATGTCTAGCATTGGAAAAATTGGCCCTTAATCAGGTTGTTAAACACATTGAACCTAATAATCATCAGCCATCAACATTCTTATTAGAATAATTGAGAACTGGTGTGGCAAAGAATAAGTTTTTTACATAACATAATATAGCATACGGACATAGGCAAGGTGCACAAAGGTCATTTATTAATTTTTTTTAATTCTATGAAATTCTAGTCAAATTTAGACACAAAAGCAACAACGAAATAGAACCATTCAAATCTATCTACTCATTAACCGTTCCGAATTTATCTAAAACTTATTATACAAAATACATTTGAAACTCAATTTTGCTACTTACATAAAAATATTCGTTCGTAAAATGAAACAGTTTTCCTGATGTTCCCCGGGGCCTTTTCTAATTAAACGAAAAGTCCTACGTAAGGGATGTTGCGTGGCTTCACGGGTCTGACGTCACAGATGAGATAAGACGAAATTTATATTATAAGGATATGGCTAATAGAAGGTACTTAGCAGATAATGTTTCTTTTAGTAAATAAAATAGTAATGACGTCACGCCTTTTCATTCGTTTCACAAGAAGTGGATAGAAGATCACTAATTTAACTTTTTATGGGATATGCTGGTGAACTAGTAGACTGATCACCTGATGGTAAACAATCGGCGTCGCCCAAGGACACCCCAACACTAGAGGCGTTTTAAGTGCGCTACCGGCCTTTTAGGGATTAAGAATTTGAGGATTGTTTGGATATTCAGGGATTCATACGACTAAACACAACGCAAGAATTGTTTCGTGTCGGTCTTCTGCTCGGCCGTGGTGTCACTCCAGTCGAGCCGGCCAATTCGTGCCGAAGCATGGCTCTCCCACACTTAAAAATTTAATTTTAACAAGCAAATACATCAACTGATGGTTACTTTTAAACACACCAAAGACACTCACAATGCTAGAGCAGTCTTAAGTGCGTTGTCGGCGTTTTGAAGGAGGAAAAGGGTCTCCGATAACCTCACTCACACAATGAAACACAATACAAGCTTTGATTCACGGTGGTTTTCAGTGAGGCCGTGATATGACTTTGCTGGAGCCAGCCTATTGGTATTGATTGCTATAATTCTATAGAGTAATCGATAAAACTAATTATTGTTCAGTTAATTGCCATGTTGGCCGAGTGGCCGCAAGTGCAACTGCCTGGCAAGGGGTCTCGGGTTTGATTTCCGGGTCGGGCAAAGTATTATTGGGTTTTAAAAAAAATTCTCAGTAGTAGCACGGTGTCTGGCATTGTGCCCGGTATATATAGGCTCACCCCCTATTACATGGGACTCGTAACATAAATAGTGAAAAATGGGTGTTACATTGTACAGTGGTATAATGTCCACCTCTCCCTACCCCTTCGGGGATAAAAGGCGTGATGTTATGTTATGTTCAGTTAATATTTAAGAATTAAAACTAAAATTAGTTCAGCACATTTATAAAATAGGTTTCCATTAGCGTTGGATCGTAGAACATTCCTGACTTGTTTTGTATTTCAAGGCGTTGTCGGTTATTACTTACCGTTGGCAGCACGCCAAAACTACAACTTATTTATTGTTTAACTTGCAAACTTGGAACTAGTGTTATGTAGACCATGTATGTAGGTGGGTAGAAATGTAACATATATACATGTAATTATGTATTTTATACTTTATGGTTTAAAGGGTTAGGTAGAATTTAAAACATCATTTTTTTTGCATCATTTTTGTTATTAGTCACTATGAAGAGACGAGATAATTATCATATCTTGAATGGGTACGATTCTTTATTCCAATAACATTGAACTCCTCACCATGCCTATTAAGAAATTCACCATTATAAAATCCAATAAAACTCCATCAGGAAAAAGAAAATTCAGAACAGCGCCATCTATTGGAGGGTAGCGCTTTTAATTTAAGCAGCGGCAAAAAGGTTGGCGTAACGTAAATTATTTTCAATTCTACCAACAGATGGCAGTACAATTAGACTTATCCAGGGTATTGCCTACTTTTTACTTAAATGATTACAAACATGCTGCAAAAATCTAGGTACTTTAAAGTTTTTCGATTTAGTCATTCATAGTATCAGATGACCGTACCGTGATAATTATGTTATCAAAATAATAATTACCATGATTTTATGTTTATTTCGAAAAGATTTTATGAAGTTTACTCTTGTAGTACTAGTATAAAAAGATAATTTGAAATAACTTTGAATTCTTAAGAAGTCGATTTACAAATCCTTCTGTATGTACCTACTTTAATTGGTTTAAGATAGCTCAATTTATATAAAATCATGCTTCAACATCATCAATAGTCTATAAGTACCCACTGCTGAGTAAAGCCTCTTCTCACACGGAGAAGGTTTCAGCATTAATCACCACGCTTGCTCATTGCGGGATGGCGATTTTAAACTTATAATAAAATTAGAAATTATAAGCTCAGGTTTCCTCACGATGTTGTCCTTCACCGTTTGTCAGTGGCGTCTAAATAGTCTTACAAAGTATATGTAATTCGAAAAGTCACATTGGTACTTACTATCGGAAGGTTTGGTATACCCCCCCCCCCTCATGCATGAGAAGCGGGCGTCTTAACCTCCAGGCCATCACGACCTAGGAGACATACAAAAATAAAGAAAGAAAGATAATTATATAAAATAATAATAATACAACCCAAAACGATCGCTCTCACCGCGGTTTATGCAACAATTGTCTGCACGCAACAACCTTGTAGCGGGGTGACGATTTAATATAAATAGTTAAACGTATGGGTGGGGCGGAACAGATGCGGTATGTTTTGTCACAATTGAACATTTTATGTGTATTCTGTCTGTGAATAATTTAGATTTAGTTTGTGTAAGTTAATTTTGTTGTTAGAAATGATTTGTTTAGTAATTATATTATGTTGTTTTTAAGTTAAATGAACAGTTGATGTATAACATTTTTAGAAAGTTTTATAGTCAAACGTTATCAAGGACATTAACTAATTTTATGGTCGAAATTAAAATCTTCTGTTGTCTTATCTTCAGATTGTGATGAGTGTTTTGACATTTAGT